ATTATGTATTTTCCAGGCACACAGTTCAATTCTATACCACAATCAAGTGTTTCCATCAGTTTTTATGAAAAACACTGTATATATCAAAAGTAAATTTGACTTTGCATAATAGCCTCTCTAAACACCTTGAAATTGGCCTCTGTCTGACATGACATCTTCACAACAGCTTTGGGGGAGTGGTGCTCTGTGGGGCCAGAGGTTGGCCGAGGACTGAGCACCAGGGAGAAGCTTTGTGTAAATAGACGGTGCTTTGTACCAGCAAGTGTTTAGGTAGGTGGCTACTGGCTACCARGAGATTCAAGGATTTCTCAAGCATGCATTAATGAGTCAAAGCAACACTCTGGGTATGTTTTTGATGAGGGAATGACAACATAATAAAAAGCCCAAAAAATTTGATTTTGCATAACACCCCCCTTTAAAGATCTCCAGTATCCCAACCTAYAATCTTTGGTATAGACCCTTCTAATAAGTGGAACTGAGCTTCCTTTATTTAGGCAAAATGCAATGTACTTTTGTCTTTTTCTCTTTTTCTTGAAAACAAATCAAAAACTTTGATACACATTTTTTTTAAAAAATTGAATGTATTTCACAACATATTGCATGCCAAATCATGGTTTAAAAAAAAAAGGCAAGTTTATTTTTTGGGGTCCAATTTAACTGGAACATTGTATTTGAGCCAGCAGATATCATGCCAAAAAACTCAAGCAAACTTAAAAACGTGCATATGTGCAAAGCAACATGAAGAAACTAATCTTAATTCTGTAACAGCCCTTTTAGATGACTTTATACTGTGATTATCACACACATGAACAGAAGATGGAGTTGGAATAGGTGTTGGTGGCACCTACCAGGCGTAGGCGCTTGAGATTTTTATTAACACACYCCTCAGTACAGCTGCAGTTTCTCTATATCAATTGCAACATCACTAAATGGCCAAACACTATTGGTATGATTGAAAGAGTTCTGTATTAAAAAAAATTAAAATAAAAACGAATGGCGAAGATTTGATGGAATCAGATGTGTCAGTAAGTTATTTTATTTTATTTTGTAAAAAAATATCATTGGAAAAATGTCAAAATGTGACTAATGTTCTGAGCCTGAGCTTTCCCAGAAGTCCTGACTTTTCAGAATGCTCATGTCTTTCCATGTTATGTTTGTTTTTAAATTAAAAGGAAAAAGTGTAATCTACCCTGAGCTCTGTCATTCATTCACATCTTTACAAAGTTTCTGCTCATTATTTTTTTCTTACGAAAAGTGTGCTTTGAAGAACACATAAAGAAAAAAAAAACATTTTGTGAGTACTGTTAAAAGATGACTCAGCACACATTACAGTCCACCAGGGGTCAGAACTCGTAATTTCAACCTTTATTTTTTATGACCTATTATGAAATGTTTTATGCTGGAATTTTATTTAATAAAAACACAGCATGCTAAACCTGTTATAGAATGTTAATCACTTGGCTTGTTTTCTTTGAAAAAGCCTGAATCATCTTTACAAGCTACCTTAAATTGAGATGTTGTCAAGAATAGAATAAAAATCTAAAATAAATATTGCTCATTTTAGCTTCAAACTTTTAAAATATGCACTTAAACTTAAAATATTACTTATTTGAAAGTTTAAAATGACAGGTAATTACCCGCTTTTGTGCTTGTGTTTGGCAAAGCTTTAGATTTATTGCAAATGTCTGAACAGGGTAAAATACATTTTTGGTGACTCAGCATTTATGGTGAGAACTAAGATGCTGAATCACTCCGGAAGTTGTTGAGTAAGTTTTGTGAAGCTTTCAAATCTGATTTATGTGATTTTGTTTACACACCCTGCWCCTTAATCATGGAGCTCACTTTTACTGATCCTGCAGCAACATAAATAATAATTAAAGGATTAAATCTGCCACTGGTTTGTTTGGCGGTTTGTTTAAGGTTGTGAGTATTAATCCCAAAGAGTGAGTCATCTCAGATTCACTGGTCTCTGAGGATAGCATTTTCCCTTGTTTTAAATATTGCATGAGACTTTGTAAGGAGAGCAACGCTCACACACCTGCCACTGTATTTCACATAACACGTTTATAGCAAACAATTTAATCGATACTTTTGTAGATAAGCTACATTAAATGTATTTTTTAATGCTACAACTCATTTTAAACTTGATTTAAATGCAGAACACTCAGAATCAAACATTTCTCTAAAGCTTCCTTGTGTTTTACATATTGTTTGACTAGAGATGAAATACGATATGCATCCAGGTGTGGCCTGTATGCCATATGACTCTTTTTCTTTACTATCTCTTTTGTGTAGCTTTTACATATTACATAATGTGTTCCAGCTTGTGACCAGCATGTGCTGAAGCCTTGACTGGAGGCTTTATGAAAGAAGTCATTTTGTCTCTTTTTAGGCCCAGGCCAACTAAAGGATAAAATAACAGAAAACCTAAATGTAAAGTAATACCAGGTAAGATTTTTATTACATGGTTTTTTTTCCCTTCTTCTTTAGGCTCATATTTCTGGTCTTTTGCTCTCAAAACTTTAATTTATAGTTAGAGTTTTTGCAAAATCACAATTCAATTTATGATCAATGCTATTTGCATTGGTCTCACATTTGTGCATTAGAAACAATGCACACACTTTTGCAGAATGCCTTCAGCTACCAAACAACTGCAGTGAAGTGTTTCTTTGCTACCAGTTTCTCATTACAAACATGAAACATTTAGAGGTCAGATTTCCTTTTGAAATACATGGTGACTCACAGGATTTTGTTTTTATACTGGTATTATTAACCTTTATCGTCCTACCATTGTGTGATAAGCCACATCCTCATTACTTGAATGAAGTTCAAACACCACTGCCTCTATTAATCCATTGACCCATACAGCGCGCATTTCAAAKATGCTGTGTCATCATTACAGTCACAATATATAATTGAACATTATTGTTGAAATGTGATAACCCACTTCTCACATTCCAGTCTGCAACATTAAAATTAGTCCAGATGTTCAGTGGCAGTATAATTAAAAACTGAGTCTTCCTTGATGCACATAGCCTTCATGCTGGAGTTTTAAATTAAGATCAGCTGATTTTGGTCAAACTTTGTAAATTACATCATGCAGATTGTGATATTGTCAGATCCAGCATGCATGATCTGTTTACACTTGAAGTCAGTGTTTGGGATGATGCTCAGCTACCTCCACACCAAATTGTAGCTCATCATCTGTGAAATGAGATATAATGTTACAGACAATGACACTGGTTCATTCATTGAGTTTAGGAGTGTTTTAGGACTGAATGATTCAAATGTCAGTTTACAAATAAACAAATTTTCTGAAAAATCCAACTCCAAGACAACAAAAACCGTACTAAATTAAGTAAAGAGGCAAAAATACATAATATGATTCATCTTGTGATTATTTTCGTAAAAATACATATATAAAAAGTATATAACTATTTTTCTAGATGTTCCTACTGTACCGGTGACATCGAACGTCTCGCTCCGGTAGGAGGAGCGTATGAGCGCCGATAAGTGCTGAGTCACAGCGACGTCACTAGGCTCCGCCCAGAACWGTCACATGTTTGAGACCAGGAGGTGCGTTCATGTACAACACAGCGTAAGCCACTGCGTGACAATCATTCAGGCTGGCTTGATAACTGTAACAAACACAGGCTCACCTCGCTGTCAGTCGATGTGTATCACCTGCTTCGGTCTGTGTTAAGCAACCGAACCGAGGGCACCGGTACCGCTCGTCCGCTTTGACATCAACTCTCGGTTGTGCTTTAGAGCTAACAAGACATTAGCAAGTGATGAGCAGGGGCCTGTCTCCCCAAAAGCTCAGCTAAGCGGTTACCGACCGAGGACGCCGACAGCGACGAGAGACTCGACATMCTGCCTGTGACCTGCCCCACGGCACCCAAGTCGTTCCGGACTCTGCCGGGTTCGTCGGACCGAGACTTTATGCTAGTTTCCTGCGAGTTGGACGAACTAGCTCGGTAGCTAACCGTCTAGTCACAGCCCCTCTCTCTGGCGCATTATTTTGCAGCTTAAAAAAAAAGCAGCCGGCGGCAGGACACGCTCAGCCATCCGGGTACTGGKAATCTGCGATGGGGCTGCTGTCACAAGGCTCTCCGCTGAACTGGGAAGAGACCAGGAAATACGCCGACCACATCCGAAAGCACGGCATTATCCAGTTCCTCAACATCTACAACAAGGTGAAGGAGCGGCAGAAAGATGTGCTGAAGTGGGGCGACGAGGTAAGAAAGTAGGAGAGAGTATCATGTGGCTTTAAAGCTCCACAGTGCTTTAAGATCTTTCAGTGTGCATGATGCAATAAAGCACCGTTATTGATGTTATTAATGACAAGTGCGTTTTCTTCTTAAGGCCGCCTTTAAAGCACTAATCCAGCTGATCCCAACATTTGTTATATTGTCAGAGTTTTTAATACTAATATTTGTTCAATGACTCACTTTGTGTTTTGTGGTGGCTGTCACCACTGATAATAGTTCAACGAAAACCACCTTGTTGGGTAAACACAACACATTTCGATCTGTAGGCTTGACTGTTCTGTTTACATTTGGATTATACTTTTTTATTATTAGGATTTGTTTGCCCGCAGCAGTCCACAAAACTTTGGTGTGCAACAGCTTGCACACGGGGTTCTTACATTTTAATCGATGTGGAATGCTGTTGTTATAGATTAATCCGTGTTTCAGACAGGGGATTACAGAGGAGCAGAGTCAAAGTCAAGGAAACGTTACTGATGAATTGGAAATGATGGGATGGCGTCCCGGTCTGGTCGTTCCCTGAAAGCCTGGYCACAACTTTAAATTCACAAACTCTTACATTTCTTTCTTTTTGTTGTTGTTGTTTTTTTAGGTCGAGTACATGTTGGTGGAACTGGACGACAAAGATAAAAAGGTTCGACTCGTGCTGAACGGCAAAGATGTTTTGGAAACTCTTCAGGAAAAAGGCGAAAATATAAACCCCAAGTAAGTCCTCCACATGCTGCAGGTGAAAATGTCCTCACATGCTCCCAAATAGTCCTTCCAATTTCAAAACACTCTTGTGTCAGTTTAAAACCAACATTCTTGACATATTTGTGGTTTCATTAGTCACAATTAGTGTCAATGGGCCTCATGCAAGAACCGTTCGTACGCACAGATTTGTTCTTAAGTTGTGCGTACGAGTGATTTAGGAGAATTTGTGGCATTCACCGAAGTTTTCGTATTCTGAATTTTTTTTTTCAGATACGAACAAAATTTACGAGTGGTCCAGACCTGTCGTATATTTTACGAGCTGTCAGTCTGCTGT